ATTCTATCTCCAGCCTCATTCCTGTCACCAAGCCCATGTTTTCCGACTACTGATTCTTCTTCACTATTCCCAACTTTTGCATTCCAGTCACCCATTATTATCAATGCATCTTGATTGCATGTTCGATCTATCTCCGACTGTAAAAGTTGGTAGAAATCATCTATTTCTTCTTCTTTGGCTCTGTTACGGCACCAAAAAAAAAAAAGAATTCTAATCACAAGAACAGAAACTAGACACTTCATGTTTTTTCCTCTCATTGTCATCCAGTTGGAGCCGACTCACAGCTGAAGCTTCAGGAGGTTTTCAGGAAACTGTAAATCACCTAGAAGGAGATTTTTGTCCATTTTTCTCCCATGGAGCTGCTGGGGATTTGAAACCCTTGGGTTAGCAGCACAACTCCGTACACACTGTGCCACCAGAACTCCTTATTGTAGGTAAAACAATATTTAATCCAACAGAGTAGTGGTAGAGAGAAGAATGACCTCTGTGGATACCTGTGTCCTTACCTGTGTAAAGGATCTGAATATGACAATAGGAAAGTCAGGTAGAAGGTGGAATTAAAGCTGCTTATTGATAGGCCTTGAGATAGGCAGATTTTTTTTTTATTTATTCAAGAGGTGTCAAAATAATCAACAGCAACAGAGTTCTTACAAGGGAAAGAGGAGGACTGGAATGTGAATGCAAGCAAAATGAGTACCAGGAATGACTTGAACTTATTACCAGTAACTTCACAATTCATGTCTGAATGATGCTTGCCAATAGGTAGATATTTTTTTCTTTTTACGTAAGACACGTCCCAGCCTTCTGGCACTTAGGAACAGTTGACAGCACATTGAAACTGGGTTTGGAATGTTTTCACTGCTATGTCAATAAGGTTTACAAAGCATATTGTTATTCACTCAATCATTCATGAACATTTGTTTCACGGCATTAAGTGAAATAACCACCTGTCTGATCATTCAATCATTCCATATTGCCTTTCCCTTCACCTACATTAAGGAGTCCTTATTATCTATCATTTCATTTTCTACTTTCCCACCCTTCCTCTCCTTAACAACCATATAAAAAAGATTCCGGGTGTAAACCTTTCTTTCTTTATAATAGTGGTCTCACACAATATTTGTCCTCTAGATTCATCCACATTACACAAGGTTCATGAACTCTTCATTATTTTTCAGTGTTGTATTCTCTGCCACTGTGTATTTACAGTATGTAAATATGTGATATGTACAGTAGTTTCTCTATCCTTTTGTTCATTTGCGGGCTCTTGGATTGTTTCCATCTCTTTGCTATTGTGGTGTACCTAGTAGAATAGTTGGATCAAAGTAAAATAGTTGGATCAAATGGCATTCCCATTTTCAACTTTTTCCTTTTTTAAAAAAATTATTTTATGTGTGTACCATCAAATTAGATCTGACCGGTACAGGAGGAGATTGCCCCTCCTTCTCCAGCAGAGCATCTGGTGGATTCAAACCAGGTGCCTTTGGGATTATAGTGCAACTTCCTATCACTAGGCCACCAGAGCTCTCTCATTTTCAACTTTTTAAGAAAACACCAAGATGCTTAAACCTTTTACATTTCCACCAGCTATTTGTGTGAATTCCAATCTCTCCACACAATTGCCAGCATTTGTTATTGATCATCTTATTCAACTTTGATACTGTCACTGAAGTGAGGCGGTACCTCACTGTTGTTTTGATTTGCATCTCTCATAACTCTGATAGTGTAGTCTGTAGAGAATCGTGCTGTTGACAAAAAGACTCTCTGAAAGTTCTAATCTACCAGCCACTCCAAGGAAGAAAGATGACCATTCCCTCCTGTGTAATTTACAATCTCCAAAAAGTCACTGGAGAGTCAGCTGTGAGTCAGTTCTGACCTCAAAGCAATGAGTTCAATTCTTATTAATAGCGAGAAAGTGATCGTGAGCATTTAGTCCTGTCCTTGTTGACACTCTGAATGTCTTCTGGTGATGAGTATTTCCATAGCGTCTCTCAACTTTGTACGTGAGTCATTTGTGTTTTTCTTGTTCAGAAGTTAGAGTTTTCTGTAGATTTTGGTTATGACCCCTGTGTCAGATAAAACATTGACAAATATTCTTCCCAATCTCTAGGTTCTTTTTCACTCTTTTGGTGAAATTTTTTTACACACCTAAGAACTCAATTTTAGAAGGTCCTACTCATTGAGTTTTTTCTGTCTTGAGTGCCAGTTTTTGTTTATATAAGCAATCTTTTCTCGTGCAATTTAATGCCTCTGACAACCTGCTGTAGGGTCAATTATGAGTCCGTTCAACCAATGGCACACAACACAAACAATATTTATGCGACCATTTTAGGAATCTGAGGAAGACCCTCTGTGAGGTGGATTGATTCAGTGACTGGGGTAATCGGGATGGGTGTGTTGCAGACAGTGAGATTGGCACAGGACAGAACAGGGTTTAGGGTTTTGTACATCAGGTTACTAAGAGTCACAGACAACTTGACGGCACGTAACAGTAACAACAACAAATTTGTTTCTATTATTTTTTCCTCTGGGGATAATTTTTGGGTTTACCCGTAAAATAATTTGCACTTTCATGATCCACCTTGGGTAAGTTTTTGTATATGGTGAGGTATGGCTCGCATGTCCATTTTCTCTCTGTAGCTTTGTAGTTTTGTCAACACCATTTATAAAAGAGGATATGATCTCCTCACTAAATAGTTTTCCTTTCCTTATCAAAGATTAGTTGACAAAAAATTAAATTGCATTTTAATTAATTAATTGCATTAAATTGCAATTGATACTAAAAAAAATGAGTTGACAATGTGTGGATGGATTTACTTCTGGGGTTTTCATTCTATTCCACGGGACTTTGTATGTTTCTTTGTCCCAGAACTGCATTATTTGACCATTATGCTGGTGTAGTAGGTTTGAGGCCAGAAAGTATAAGCTGGAGACCATATTAAACAACAAAGTAACACACACACACACACAGCAGACACGTGCACGCACCCACACAAACATGCAAGGGCATTAACAACGAGAGAGCTGACGTAAGACGGCTTCATGACACTTGGTCTTTATTTACCTCGGGCCACAAAAGAAGAAAGAGAGAGGGGAGCAGGGGAGGACGTGGAACGGGTGGTCTACTGTCTCCGAGAAAACCGCCTTCTGTGACAGGAGTAAAACCAGAAGAACTGACTGATGGTGAAAATGTTGATTATTCTATGTGGGACCCTTTTATAAAATGAGGGAAACGTGTAAGATCATTTCAGACGGTCATGGGTTCCTGATGTTATGGAACCTTAGAGGCTGTGGACTCTACTGCCCTGAGGTAAAATTCAACTAAACATATCTCCTAAAGTCTCCCTAAACCCAAAAGAATAGTCCATCAAGTACCCAAAAATGTACTCTTTTTTTCCCTTCCTACATTTCTTTAAACAGATTAAGTTTACTGTATCAAAGGGGAGTAACACTAAAATTAGTATAACAGGCTTGGTAAGAGTAAAATTGCAAGTCAAAGTGAATTTTAGATATAATTATATTCATTGTTATTCTACATAACAGATGAATATTCTAAAAATTGTAAGCAATTCTGATAAGGATTATGGAAAAAGAAAATAAAAGAATGAAAATACGGAACAGAAAGAATGTGACATTGTTTACATTTGCTTAACTAGTTCTGTTATAGCTACTGTCTCTTTTTTCATTTATGTCTTAAAATGACAAATGTACTCTTTTTTTAACTTAAGGAAGCTTTATTCATTTTTTTAAAAAATCATTTTAAAGAACATTTACAGAGATTTTGGATTTCCATTCATTCATTGCTGCACTTCTCTCCACGCCCAGCCCTTCCCCCCCCCCAAAATGTACTTTTTTAAGGACTATTTACAGATGGATATTTTACAACAGCAACTGGACGGATTAGAGTGGAGCTTTATGGGGGTGTGGGTGGGGAGTGCAGGTTACTGGGGGAGGAACTTCCACGGAATGAGAACGGGCACGAGTTGAAGAATGTGGATCGTGTCCATGTGGGACTGGCTATGGGGAAAACATTGCAGGACTGTTTTCTGTGTCAATCTCACCACTAACTACAAAATAATTTAAAAGGGAAAGTGGGGCAGTCTCGCACCTTGATTGGCGTCGACTCCGACTTATATGCCAAGTTACTCACATTTTTCTAGGTCTGCAACAGCCCACCAATGCACCATAAGTATTATTGCCTTAAAGTTTATGCGTACATTTTAGTGGACATTCACGTCTGAGCCTGGTGCCTCCAGGATTAAGTTCTTGGCAGCCAACTGATCAGTCAGCGGTGCAAACTTGACACAAACTTCCCTAAAGATTTATGCTCCTGATCCTATAGGCTGATTTTACCCTCCCCAGCGGGGTCCTTGCGAGCTGGAATTGACCAGACAATATGGGGCTTGTTTGGCTTAAGCAAAATCTGTAACATCAAAATCCACAAGTGAGAATGGCAACCTTTGCATACAGGTTGAAAGATTGAAAGGAACATACACAGTGGGAGAGGGAGGAGAAAGATGGGCACAGCGGAGTGATCTCCATCATTTCAGCACCTTGGAATGGGGTGCGGGGAAACCACTCATTTAAAGCTCACAACCCGAGTTTATGCTGAGTGAGCTAACTCAGTCCCACAAGGATAAATATTGTATGAAACCATTCTGGTAGACAAAGGATCCAAGAGATGTGGGAGAGGCTGGAAACAGAGGGATGAGGATGTGCAGGGTGACGGGGGGAGTAATCATTGGGTTGTACAATTTGATGGGTTGGGGAGTGAGAAAATTGGGAAGAATTTGTCCTTGAAAACAATGTATTTGAATTTTGAAAATAAACTAGTAAAAATGTTTTAAAAAATCTAGATAAAGCTCACAAACTATTTACTCTCAGGTGTATACAGAAAACCCTCCCTTCTGGCCTGGCCTGGACCCCTGGTGACACTGGGAGAGAATGTGACCCTGCGGTGCCGTTCAGAGACCGTCTTTGACACCTACATGCTGTATAAAGATGAGGGAATCGGGGACCCCTTGCGTGTACGTGGTAAACTGCATGACTGGACCTCTCAGGCTGACTTCTCCATGGGCCCAGTGACATCTGACCATGCGGGGACCTACAGATGTTATGGTTGGCTCACCCACGCCCCCTACGAACTGTCAGACCCCAGTGACCCCCTGACTCTCGTGATCACAGGTGAGAGTCCCAGAATTCTCATCTTCCTGCTCTCTTCAGCATGTAGGTTGGATATTCTAAAGGCTGACAGTCCTGGGCGCTGATTAGATAAATGAGAACAGGGTTTTCATAGAGTCAGACCTGGTGAGAGATGAGAACACCAACAGAGACAAAGACAGAGGAGAGACAAGTAAAATTTTATAAAACATAAAGGCCAGACACAGGAACAGGGAGAAGGGAAATGAGAAGTGGAGAGAAAGAGAGAAATTCAAATGTGGAGAGCGTATCCCCTCCCTCTGTCTCTGACTAGAGACCTGATGTGGTTTGGAAACGTGGTTTCTCATTTTATGTCTACACTCTCTTGTCTAGAAACCAAGTGTCTGATTTGGGATGGAGGGTCAGCGGGCCCTTCCCTGGCTGACCCCATAGCCTTAGAGAGTGGAAATCCTTGCACTTACTTTGACAGGTCACGAAGGAGGCCCACGTGGGACAGTTGGACATGCTCACCAGGGTTGGGCCCAGGATGTTGGTACAGAGAGAAGGGATCTAGGATGAGTTCCTGTGGACTGTGTGTTTACTGCACATCCTCAAGCTAGCTTCTACAGTCCATGTTCTAAGGCAACCCCAGGACTTAGAGGACTATTGAGCACACAAAAATCTACACGGGTGCGCGCACAACAGAGGAAGTGGTCTTTGGGAAGCGCGGGCACAGAAGCACACAGACATATAACAAATCGATGAAGGAGAAGAGGGAAAAGGAGAAGAATAGAGGAATCTCTCTCTCTCTGGGCGCTTGGGGGAGGAATGCCAGTTCTCTCAGGAGCCTTGCGTTAGCTGACAACCTGGGAGTTCGTTGGCCATAATCCAACCTCAAAGGAACAATGGTCGACTTCAGTGGGGTCTAAGACAGATCACCCCATTTCCTCTCCTGTTCTGTTTTCCAGAAAACTTCATAAGCACTTCTCCATCACCCACAAACTCATCTCCACCACACACAAGTACTTCCCCATCACCCACAAGTACGTTTTCATCACCTGCAGAACCGAACTACCAAGGTGGTAAGTGAGGAGAACTTCTTGTCTGGGCTTGCAGTGTTCTGGGGAGACGGAGGCCGTGAGTTCAAGTATTGAATCTGCTAATTCCTAGGTCTGTGACTTTGAACTAATCACCTTCTCTTGGTGAACCTCAGATTCTACAATTACAGAAGCAACCTAAAACTCTGATTTTTATCTTATCTTCTTATCTTACCTCCACAAGGGTTCTTATCAAAGCTCCATTTGCCAGGAAACAAACTCTGTGTCCTCCCTTTGAGCTTTGAAATACTGTGTAAAATAAAACGTCTGTAATAAAATAGAGAAAACCCACTTTTGCCAAGTCTGACTCTGACCTTCCTTCAGTTTTCTCAAACTATAGATCCCCAGGCGAGAAGACTGCCCACCTGTCCCTCGTGGAGTGATCGATGAATTCTGACCATTCACCCTCGGGTTAGCTGTCCAATCAGTTATGCACTATATCACCAGTGCTTCCTTTTTTTTAAAAAAAAAAAATCTTCTTTTTTAAATTTTTATTAATCTTAACGGAAGTTTACAGAGACTTTGGATTTCCATTCATTCCTTGTTGCACTTTCTCCCTGCCTACCCCTCCTCCCCCATTTCACTTTTCTCTTCAATTGCCTCTGGTGGGTCCTATGACGACATAACACCTCAGCTTGCCTGGTTTTAATTGTTTTTGGTCAAACATTCTTCTAAGTAGTACAGCTCTGGTCTGTCCATAGGCAACTGAGAAACAGTACTTGCTATGACTTGCTTATTGTTGGATTCACATCTCTCTCCAGGTAACACTAGACTTTGGTCTATTCTGATTGGACTCTCGGTGGTCGCCATCATCCTGGTCCTCCTCATTTGCTTCCTCATTCGTCGCTGCTGTCGTGCAAAAAAGGGTAAGTGTCGGGGAGAAGGAGCCAGTGTCACCTCAGCAGGGTGGACATCTTTGATGGGAGTGCAGAGGTATTGAACGTCTACTTGCAGGTTTATATTAAGCTCAATGCAGGAGCCACAGAGATAGAACTGTGCAGAAAGCACACCAGCGTCTCTGCCCCTTCTGTAAGCTCTCAGACCATCACCTCATAGTGCACCGTGTTCCTACTTACATCCAGTCCTTCCACAAACATCTAGGAAAACAAGGGGAAAAGTAGGAGACAGAATCAATAGCTTGGGATGTCAGAGCCTTTAATCGGAGGAACGTTTTCACTTAGAGAGAGAATCTCTAGTTCTGCCTTTTGGAGCCGAAATGTCTCAAGTACTCATTCATTTTTCTTGACTTTATAAGTGTATTTATGAAATGAGGGGCCAGAGGTTCGCTCACATTTATTTTGGTGACTTCTGTCCCTTGCAGATGCCACTATGCTCAGCAGAGAGCCTGACGTGGACACCACGGTGAGTGGGAAGGTAGGTCCTCCTCAGTCCCTCCTCTTCAGTGCAGCTAATTCTCTCTCTCTGTCCTTATGTATCTGCACACGTCCTTCTCACTATTGGCCTCTTCCCAGGTACCTGAAGAAGACCCACAGGAGGTGACTTACACAGAGCTGAGACACTGGACTCCCAAGAAGGAAAAAAATCACTCCCACCCCACAGAGGTCAGAGGCCTCCTCAACTAATACCCACGTGTACATGCAAGTGGCTGTACGTTAAGCCAGATCAAGGCGTGATTCCTGGATCCTGTGCACATGTAAAGAGATCTAGAGACGTTCTTCCATGAGCACCATCCCTCCTTAAGACCTGCTTATCAACTCTGTAATAATAACGCCTGGGGTCTGGGTACCTCCATGATCATCTCTAAAATCTCAGGGCCCTTAGGAAACCCCCAAATATTTGAGGACTATTTTATGACTGTCTAATCATTTCTAGTATTATAATAAAAGCACCCAAGCATTCTAGAAGTCCAACCATAATTGGTCTACTTTCTTTCATAGTCTACTGATGGGATTCTAGAAATTATGATATATTTATTCAGTGGGTCAACTTCATTAACAAGTTTTGATGGAGACATACTATATTCTCTCTTCTAGTGCAGAACCAAAAGCAAATATATCTCTCACTCTTATCATCTATCTATCTATCTATCTATCTATCTATCTATCTATCTATCTATCTAATCTGTCTCTACATATCTCTATCTCTCTGTCTGTCTCTCTGCTGTTGAGACAGAACCAATTCACGACTGACCCTTCAACGAGTTTCCAAGTGACCATAAATTATATTGAGGAGACTGCCCACCATTCTCCCATGGAGCAGCTGATGGCCTCGACCCATGTGCCTTTGGGATTGCACCGCAGCTTCTTGTCAAAAGCGGAATTGCAATGGGAAAAGTCTGCTGTCACGGACCTCTCTAGGGTACTGAAGAACAATCATATCACTCTAAAGACTAAGGTGCACCTGATCCAGGCCATGGTCTTGGCAATTACTTGCTATGCATCACAGAGCTGAACAATGACAAACGATGATAGAGAAAGAATTGATGCCTTTGTGTTGTGCTTCTGGTGAAGAGTAAGGAATACACTTTGAACTGCTAAGAAAACAAACAGTTCCATCCTGGATTTTGAAGCTCTGTCTGATATCCTTTGAGCATGTTGCAAGGAGGTATTAGTTCTTGGAGAAAGATAATCATGCTTGGAAAGGTGGAGGGACAGCATAGGAGAAGAAGACCCTGGGAGAAATGGATTGACTCAGTGGCTACTGAGGGTAAAGGGGGTAGGTGTATTAGAGACAATGAAATTGGTTCAACAGAGCAGAATTCCGGGCTGTGTACATATGGTCACAAAGAGTTGCAAGTGATTCAACAGCACAAAACAACTATATACTTCCAATTACGTTGGTTACTTGCTTACATGATTTTTCTCTTTCTACCTTTCTTCTCTTTTGTATCTCTTTGCCTCTCTCTCATTTTCTCTTCTTTTTCCTTCTTCCTCTCCTTTCTTTTTTCCCCCCTCTCTCTCCTCCATAGTACAATCCTTACTAAGATCTCCATAATACTAAAAGTTTTTTTTAATGTGCCAACACTTCGGAACCAACTGAGAGCTGACCTTCTGCAGGTTTTCAGAAACTTCCAATCACAAATGAGTAGATCAACCATCTTTCCCATATGGTGCACTTGGTAGATTTGAATTGCCTGCCTTTGTGTTGACAACACAATTCCTTACCACTAGGCCACTGTGGCTCCCTATCTACTTCCACAATGATGAGTGACTTCCTGGTAATATATTGACATTTTATACCACAATATAACTAACACAAGTTTTTTATTAATTCACACAATTTTACAGTAAATATCCCAAAATTAGACGGATGGATGGATGGATGCATGGATAGATAGATAGATAGATAGATAGATAGATAGATAATAGACATACAGATAATAGACAGAATATCTTAGATGGAGATATAGATATCTATATATTCATAATTTATCCTTGTTTTTGTTTCTTGTTTCATTACATATTTAACTATTTTTGGTCAAACTTAATACAGCAAGTTAGGTTCTCATTTAATAATTTGTGTGCGTGTTGTTTGATTACTCTGGTTACCTTTTTACATAGTTTTTTATTGTGATCTGAGTGAAAGCTTACAAAGCATATTGCTGGTGGTGGTGGTTTTTAAATACTTTTTTAAATTTTATACTGGTCTCCTTACAAAATTCATATACATTGTTTTTCACACTGAATCTTTCCCATTTCGTTTACCCACCTCTCCCTCCACCCATGAAATTGTGCAACCCTATGAATAACCTCCCCCAACCCATCCACCCATTAATCCTCAGCCTTCTTCTTCCACCATCCTGACCTTGGATCCTCATACATGTTCTGCAATAATGGTCTTATAGGGTATTTGTCTTTATCAGACTGAGTTAGTTCACTTAGCATAATGTTGTCCAGGACCTGTCCCTCCTAAGAAAGGTAGTAATTAATAAAACCATTGTTCCTGCCTTCTGCGTAGTATTTCACTGTGTGAATGTATCATAATTTCTCAAGCCATCTGCTTGTGATTACCAAGATATAAAATCACAGACCAGTATCTCACATGAATATAGATGCAAAAATCTATAATAAAATCCTAGCCAATAGAAACCAAAAGCTCATCAAAAAAATTATTCATCATGACCAAGTGGGATTCATAATAGGTATGCAAGGATGGTTCAACATAAGAAAAACAATCAATATAATTCATCATATTAACAAAGCAATATAAATCATCATATTAACAAAGCAAATAACAAGAACCATATGATCTTAGCAATTGATGCAGAAAAGGTATTTGACAAAATATAACACCTCTTCCTGATAAAGACACTCAGCAAAATTGGAATAGAAGGGAATTTCTTTAACATAATGAAAAGTATGTATTCAAAACCAAGAGCCAGTATCATTCTCAATGAAGAAAGACTAAAAGCATTTTCTTTGTGAACAGAGGCCAGACAAGAATGCCCACTGTCTTCACTTATATTCAGTGTCATATTGGAAGTGCTTGCTAGGGCAGTACAATATGTTGTTGTTGTTATGTGCCGTCGAGTCATTTCTGACTCATAGTGACCCTATGCACAACAGCCCTAAACCCTGCTCTATCCTGCGCCAACCGCACTGCCTCTGACACACCCATCCCGATTACCCCAGTCACTGAATCAATCCATCTCATAGAGGGTCTTCACCTCCTGCACTGCAATACAATAAGAGAAGGAAATAAAAGGTATCCACATCAACCAAAAAATGGTTCAACTATGCTATATGCAGATGATAGGACAGTGTACACAGAAAATACCCAAGACTCAACAACAACACTAGAAGACCAATTTAGTAGAGTGGCAGGATATAAGATCAACATCCAAAAATCAGTGGGATTCCTCTATAGTAAAAACAGAACTCAGAGAAGGAAATCAAGAAAGCAATACCATCTACAATAGCCAACCACAAACTGAGAAACTTGACAGTGAACCTATCTAGAGAAACAAAAGACCTAGACTAAGAAAGCTTCAGAACATTTCTGTGAGACACAATGTTGTTGTTGCTGTTAGGTGCTGTCAGGTCGTAGAGGACTCATAGCAACCCTAAAGGGAAAGGCCTGAGCACTGTTCATAGAGTTTCAGGAGGCAAGCCATTTCGGAAGTGGATGTCACTCCTGCTTCCAGGCTTGTTTTAGTCCGGAAGCTCCAGCCAACACTGTCCACCATGGGTGACCATTACCACCTCTGGCACATAAGCGTCCCAGTGTTCAGCATCACAGCAACCACGAGTTACCTCTGTACAGCAATGCACAGACCAATGCAATACCACCTAGAAGAATGTTTGACAGGAAGACAATTTGAACCTGGCTGAGGGCTGCAGATTAAAATCACCCACCTTTGGCTTGATAGCATAACTTTCTGGTGAGATACAATAAAAGACCTAAATAAATGGGGGAAATGTTCCCTGTTTATGGACAGGAAGACTCAATATTGTGAAAATGACAATTCTATCAAAAGCAATCTACATGTTCAACACAATCCCAATACAGATACTAAATTCCTTTATCAAGGAGATCAAAAGGGAAATTGTCAAGTTTAGTTGTAGAGGAAGGAGAGTCCGGATAAGCAAAGCACTTCTGAAAACACAAAAATACGGTGGAGGCATAACACTCCCTGACCTCAAAACCTACTACACAGTATTGTATTCGTACAACGACAGGTACATAGACCAAGAGAATAGAATTGAGAACAGAGAAATAGACCCAGCTAACTATGGTCAGTTCACATTGGACAAGGAAATAAAACCTATCAAATGGGTAAATGACAACCTCTTCACCAAATGGTGCTGGCAAAACTGAACTGCTACCTGCAGAAAGCTGATACAGGATCCACATCTCACATCACACACAAAAATAAAAAACTCACGGTGGATCAGAGACTTGGGACTAAAGCCCAAAACTGTATAGTTTATCAGAGACAAACTGGGATCAAGCTTAGAAGGCATAGCCTACGGTATAAAGAGACTGCTAAACACAGCCAGAAAGACTCAATCTGCAGAGGATAAAATTGATGAATTGGACTTTCTAAAGATTAAATCCCTCTGTACATCAAAAACTTACTGATTTGGAAAAAATATTTGACAATACCATTTCAGACAAGGGTCTCATAAGAGAAGTTCACAGAATCCTACAGGGCCTCTACTAGAAAAATCTGATAACACACTTACAAAGTGAGCAAAAGACATGGAAAAGACCTTTCACAAAGGAAGATGTTCAGATGGCCAACAGACATGTGAAGAAATGCTCAAAATCACTGACTATCAGATGCAAATCAAAACCACAATGAGATGCCATCTCACTCCAGAAGCTGTGGCAAAGTTTAGCAGGACAACAAGTAATAAATTGTGGAGAGGATTGTGGTGAGATAGGAACTCTTATATATTGTGGGTGGGATTGTAAAATGGTACAATCACTCTGTAAGGCAGTTTGACGCTTCCTCAAAAAGCTGAACAGAGAAATTCCATATGACCCAGCTATTCCACTGCTTGGAATATACCCTGATAGAATGAGAACTGAGGTACCGTCAGAGACTTGAACACCAATGTTCATAGTAGCGTTAGTCACCATCACAAGAACATGGAAACAGCCCAAATGTCCAGGATATCGGTTTTCATTCAGTTATTCACATCCATTTTGTTCTATAAGGTTAATCCATGTCTGCCTGTTTTTTGTACATTATCTTTCCATTCAGTTATCTTTGTGTCTGTAACTCACTTCTTGTGGTAAATACTTGGACTAGAAATTTCTGAATTACGTATTTTCAACACTCATCTAAAATGCAGCTAAAAAGTAGTCCCTCATCTAATATTAAAATGTTGTCCATTTAGTTATGCCTTAAAGAGAAAAATAACAAAACTAGTTAATGAAAGAGCCCAGAAAACAACAGACACTTCTTCCAGTATCCAATCTTAGACTTTCGACCCAAACCTGCAACAAAAACTACATTGGATCTTTAACGATTTTCCTCAAACAAAGAGCCTCTTCCTAGCTGTTGCTTCTAGTCCTGATCAGTCATGAGGGAAGGTGTTTACACTTTCATCAACAGACAAATGAAATAAGAAGATCATGGGTGAGAGTGGAAAGGAAGAACATGCCAGGGACTATTGCAGGATCAAAGGGAGATCTGGTGGTCTGGTGGTCAAGAGTCGTGCTGCCAACCCAAAGGCACAGAATTCCAAACCACCGGCTGCTCCGTGACACAAAGATAGGCAGCCTCGCACGTGACTCACGGCCTCTGAACACTCGCTGCAGTGTCAGCTAGGAGTGGGCTCTGACTTAGTTCCCTTGTCATTCTTCAGTCCCAAATGTGAGTCAAAGAACAAAACCAAGGAAACCAAGTAAAGATGGGTAGATAGAATGGATTCTGGACAATCCCAGAGGCGCACGGTTCAAATCCACCAGATGCTCTGCTGGGGAAGGAGGGACAATCTCCTCCTGTACCAGTGAGATCTGATTTGACGGTACACTCACACAAAAATAATAAAATAAAATAAAATAAAATAAAAAGAATGGATTCTGGATGGACCAAAGAATACAGGGAATTATGGCGTCAGGTTTGAGATACTCGCTAAGCTTATAGCCAGAGAGATGTCTTGAGTGCATGTTTAGCATCAGAATTACTATAGTTCCTGAAAATCAATAATAATAATGAGAGATTCATTTATAACAAAAATAAGAATTCGTACCTATGTGTTCGGGAGATGTTTTGTAAATATATATTTCCATTTTATGATTGCACATTGAATGAGGCTTACAGAACTCAAATTCGTTTCTATTCAGCCTTTCATAGATATTAATGGCAGTCCTAGGAAGGCCTACAGGTCAGTTCTACTCTGTTCCATCGGGTCTTTGTACATTTTCACCTGATGGCACACAACAAAAATGGCTTCAGAGGCCTTTGACCGGAAATGGAAGATTTCGAACTAGTACTAAAAATCCCACTGGCAAAAGAATCTATATTTAAAAGCTATGGTTATTAGAGTATTACCAATATCTCTTCAGTTCATTGTGTATTCTATATGAAGAAGATCAAAGCTACAGAACACTTCAAAGGCCTTTAAATGTCTGCTTAGAATAGGATCATCTTATTCATAAGACACTGTGTTGGACGGAAGTTTCAGGTTTGACTTTGGTCAGAATATGATGTGAAGCGATAGCTCTGAACATCTTCCAGGAAGTCGATTCCGTCCTCGACCAGCACCCCCACCCCGGCCATGGGTAAGGGTAGAAGAGACTGTCTGACATGCACCTTTCCGCATGTGGTCAATTTGCAAGCTGCAAGTGCTGGAGCTCTTCTCACGACATCCTTTGCGTGTTTCAGTCGAGCTGGGCTGCGGCCTCCAGAGCATCAGACGCAGCACCATGTCCTTCACATTAATCGGCCTGCTGTGTCTTGGTAAGTCCTGGAAGGGGATGAAAGAGAAGGAATATTAGGGTGGAAAATATGGACGTGAAGCCTTGGTGTCCACACAAGACAGAGACACATCTGTAAGAGGCAGGATGGGCTTTGAGCTCAGAGTATCCCACCAGCAGAGCACATCCCTGACGTGGAGAAAACTGCACTGTTGTAGGGCCCAGGTCTTGCATGGAGATAACAAACCATCCTGATTCTCTCTTTTCCAGGGTATTTGATGGGCCTCCAGACTTGGGCCCAAGTAGGTGAGTCCTTTCTCACAAAACTTACTTTACCTTCCAATCTCAAAGTGAAGGATTTCCCATACGAAGAAGGTAGATGGCCTGTGGGGATTCAGTTGATGGGTTGGTTTAGGGAAGCTTTACGGGTAGATCATTTGTGAATAAGAAAGTCAAGGTCTTTGAGAATTTCAGGCTCTGATTCTGGTCAAGACATGTCCCCAGGATGTTCCCCTTGGATTTGATCCAAGTTCCAAGGGCATCTGAAGCAGACTGCGAGGCTGAGGCCACGGACTAAGGAGAAAAACCACTGCTAGGAACTACACACATCTTGTGTACCATGTTACATGGCCGTAGGAAGTGATATGCATTGCCCAGATCCTCTCAGAAAGGATGGGGGAAAAATATAATGAACTCAGGAAACTGAAGAATATTCTGCTACATTACCAGTGGTCTAATGGAGTTCATGGATTTGTTGATGTTATTTCATCCACGTAGACTTTTTTTCTTCTATGAGTGCCTTGTGTCCTTTTCTAGAACTACTTTTGAGTTACCAACATCTGGTAAAAGTTCACTCTTCAGCGCTTGTTCAAAATCCCCAATCCGTATTTCCGTTGTAGGAAGTTATGTCATATATATATTTGACGTGGGGACTCTCTATGGTAGTCCTAGATATTCTGTGTTTGGGGAAGAATTTTTAGACAATCTGGGCTAAGAAGGGATCTCTGAGCACAGGGAGGGGAGGGAAATCGCCCCGTCTCCCTCTCTAAGGCTGAGCCTTCTTCTCACCCAGGTGGTCACAACAAGCCCACCCTGACCGTTAGCCCAGCCCCTGTGGTTGCTCGAGGAGAACGTGTGAGTCTTCAGTGTCGCTTTCGTCTTGGATTTGTCACACAGAAGCTGTTCAAGGAGGGTTTTTTTGTACGTGAGTCCCAGAAAGAAATACCTCCCGCGATTTTTGAGCTGGGTCCTGTGACCCCAGCAGATTCTGGCATCTACAGATGTCATGCTTTTTATCAAAATTCTTTAACCCGGTCAGAAGTCAGCAACCCCGTGATGATCAAGGTCACAGGTAAGAGCTCCTACTCAAAGAAACTCTTCAGGGCTTTCTAATCCCACTAATCCCTGATATTCCCAGTGGAAATTGGCTATCAGAAACAGATGAGGGAGAGAACTTTTTAAAAGGGATATATGATTAGGTATTATTGTCATACTAGGAGTCCAGATCGAAGGCTGCATAGTGGGGTGGACTTGAAGGGAGGGATTGTATAACAAGGAAAGAGTTTTTCTTTTACTTTTCAAAGATAAGAGCGAACTGGGGGAGAGGGGGTATGCAAGGAGAAAAGTGCAATAATGAATGAATGGAAATCCAAAGTCTCTGTCAACTTTCATTAAAATTAATTAAAAAAGAAAGGGAAAAAAAGAAAAGAAAATATCTATCAGAAACCCAATCACAACAACAGAAACCACTCCAGGTACTTAAGGTAATTCCTTTCAGTCTTTCTCATTGCCATCCAATTGAAATTGCCTCGTAGCTGGCCCTCCAGAAAGTCTTCAGGAGGCTGTAAATTGCACAGGAGGAGATTATCTTTCTCCCATGGAGCTGCTGGCGATTTAAAACCTCCAGGAAGTCACCATGTTTGGCTTAGAAGCACATCTACCTATAGACTGTGCCACCACATCTCCTTATTTTAGGCAAAAGACAGCAGAGTCGTGACAGAGAGAAGAATGACTTCCAAACCACACTAAGCTAACTAGTGTACAGAAAACCCTCCGCAGGGCCCATCCTGGGCCCCTGGTGACATGGGAGAGAATGTGACCCCTGCAGTGGTTTTCAGGGACCTAGTTTGGCATCTGCATGCTGTATAAAGAGAAGAAAATCCAGGTCTTTTTGCATGTGATTGAAAAACTCCATGGCAAGATCTCTCAAGCTGACTTCTCCTTGCATGTGGCAACATCTGTCCTTGCAGGGACAATCAATAACATTTTGTGACTCCCAGCTGTATTGTCAGACCCCAGTGACTCCCTGATTCTCGTGGTCACAGATGAGAGTTCCCAGAATTGCCTCTTTCCTGCTCTCTTTAGCATGTAGATTGTATATTCTAAAGGTTGACAGTACCAGGCGATGGTGAGAGAAATGAGAAGAGGATTTTTATAGAGTCAGACATGGCAAGAGATAAAGACATCAACAGAGACAAAGAAAGAAGAGAAACAAATACAATTTATTAAAATGTAAGGACAGATAGGAGTACGGAAAGAGGGGGAAATTTTTAAAAATGGAGATAAGGAAAGAGAGAGAAGTTCAAATGTGGAAAGAGTACTTTTCCTCTCTCTCTGCCTTGATACCTGAAGTGGTTTGTAAATATGGCTTCCTATCCATGAGGTGGATTGATTCAGTGACTGGGGTAATCGGGATGGGTGTCAGAGGCAATGTGATTGGCACAGGATAGAGCAGGGTTTAGGGCTGTTGTATATAGGGTCGCTATGAGTCGCAAATGACTCGACAGCATATAACAGCAACAACAACAACAACATATTATGCCTATACTTTGTTGTCTATCAAGAAAATGCAAATACAAGTTGAGGGTCTGACTTGAGATGTAGGGTTACTCTACCTGCCCCTGGCTCATCCCGATAGATTTTGTGACATTAGACCATGGCAATGCTACAGATAATGCTTTTATTTTGATAATTCCGTCTTCTTCTAAGATTGACCCATAATGTCCGAGGATGTTGGTATCAAGTGAAGGAGCCTAGGACTAACTCCTGCAGACTGTCTATATGCTGTGCATCCTCAAACTAGCTTCTACGGTCCATGTTCTACGGCAACTCAAGAAATCAGAGGATTGTTGAGGTTAAAAATCTACATGGGGGTCAATGTATGACAGAGGAAGTAGTGTTTGGAAAGCAGGGACGTAGAAACACACATATATAAAATAAAAAAATGAAGGAGAAGATATGAAAAGGAGAATGACAAGGGAAGAATCTGTGTCTCTGGGCATTTGGTGGAGAAGATGCCAGTTCTCTCAGGAGCCTTGAGTTAGATGATAAAGTGGGTGTTGGCCATAAGTCAAGCTCAAAAGCACAATGGTAGGCTTCACTGGGTTATAAGACAGATTGCCCCATTTCCTCACCTGTTCTGCTTTTTCTAGAAAACGTCATGAGTACTTCTCCATCACCCACAAGCACGTTTTCATCACCGACAGAACCAAGCTACCAAGCTGGTAAGTGAAAGGAACGTCTTCTCTGTGCTTGTGGCAGTCGGAGGAAACAGAGTCCATGAGTTCAAGTGTCAGCTCTGCTGCTTCCTAGGTTTATGACTTTGAACCAATCCCCTTCTCTTGGTGAACCTCAGATTCTATGATTGAAGAAGGCACTTAGTGGAACTTTAACCTCCAGTTGTTGTTTTTTTGTTTTTTTTAATGATTGAATTCTCCTCCAAACTATGAGATTGGAAGTAACCTTAACCTCCTTTCCTGGACCAATGTAGAGCTTATTCTGTCCTCACTTCTGACTTAGGAAGAGAATCATGACGGTTAGGCAAAGAAATGAAGGGAGGACACAAGTTTCAACTTTGCATACTTAGTAAAATAAAATCTCTGAAATAAAATAGAAAACAAAAACAAAAACAACCAAACACTGCACCAAGTCTGATTCTGACATCTCGTCAATTTTTCGAAATTTTACATTTTCATGAGAGAAGACTGTCCCTCTTTCTCTCCTGGCGTGACAGATGAATTCTGAACACTTACCCTCATGTCAGCTGTCCAGCATGTTACGCGTTACATCACCAGTGATTCTTGATTTGTCTGATGTTGTTCTTTGCTGTTGAGTCGGAACCACATCATAGATGACCCTCCAGTGGGTTTTCAGAGGATGTAAATCAAGTGGGAGGAGGCTTTCCACCTTTCTCCCAAAGAGCAAGTGGTGAATCCGAACCTCCTGCTTTTCAGTAAGTATAGTGAGCGAATGCTACAAGAAGTCCGACCACACGAAAAAGAATGTAGCATCAGAGAGGAGGGAAGACTCATCAACAACCTGCAATATGCAGATAACACAAATTTTCTTATTGAAAGTGAAGAGAATTTTACATACTTAAGAAGATCAAACGTTGTAGTCTTCACTAGGGGTTAAACCTTAACCTAAGGGAAACGAAAATCCTCACCAGTGAACTAACAGTCAACATCATGATAAAGAGAAGAAAGATTGTCGGTGTCAAAGATTTTATTTTGTCTAGATTCACAATCAACACTCATGAATAGTAGCCCTCAGGAAATCAAAAGACATATTGCATTGGGCAAATCTGCTGCCAAGCACTTCTGTAAAGTGATAAATAACAAGGTTGATTGTTTAAAAACTAAAGTGAACTTGACCCAAGAACAAAGATAATGGTTTAAAGACTAAAGTGAACCTGACCCAAGCCAAAATATTTTCAATAACTAAGGAAGTTTAGAGGAAAAATTAGTGTCTTTGAGTTGTGGTGTTGGCCATCAATATTGAAAATATCATGGACTGTCAAACAAATAACCAGATCAGCTTGGCAGGAGTGAAGCAAGAGTGCTGTTTAAAAGCAAAGATGGTGAGACTTCATCTCACATGTCATCAGAAGGGGGCAGTCCTTGAAAAGGACACTATACTTGGAAAAGGGAAGACCCTCAAGGAGATGGGTTGACACATAACTTAAAGGTGACATCTCTCTGGTGGTTCAAATCCACCAGTGGGTCCAAAGGAGACAGATGGGCCGTCTCCTCTCATGTCATGTACAGCCTCTGAAAACCTACTGGAGGGTCAGCTATGAGTCAATTTTAACTCAAAATAAATGAGTGAGTGAGTGATACTAAAAGCAGTAGGTTGTGATCTTTATTAATGTCTCAAGGCCTCTTGCCTTCGAAGTTACATGCTCCATGTGTTGTTTTTGTTGAGTCTTCCTACAATCCTGATGCCTCCTTTTTCTTCATATAGTCTATCTTCTTCGATTATTTGCTCAGTATCTCGATTGAATACCTATGGTGAAAGGTATAACCCTGACTCACATCTTTTTCATTTCAAACCAACCATAAATTTAATGACCTAAAACTACACAGTTGTATTCACCATCACCATCCCCATCCCCTTGAAATTTTAGAGGCTCATCGTCCAAAATGGATCTCACTAGGCAAAATTCAAGGTGAGAGCAGGGTCGTGTTCTTCCTGGAGGTCCCAGGGGAGGATTCTTTGGGTATTTACCCCCTTTTCTATCTCTTAAGTGTAGCTCACATCCCTTGCTCATGACCCTAGGTCCTCCACCTTCAAAATCAGTAACCACTGATCAAGTCTTTCTTACATTGCATTGGTTTGACATTCTCCATAATCAAATCTCTTCTCTAACTCTCTCCTGCCTCCTTCTTTTCCTTGTAAAGACTTTTCTAATTACATTGCTGTGGTGATGGTTATATATCATCGAGTTGGAATTGACCTGTAGATGAGTCTCCAGTGAGTTTTCAGAGATAGTAAATCAAATGGGAGGAGATTACCCATCTTTCTCCCATAGAACAGCTGGTGAATTTAAATAGGGTACTTTTGCACTGGCAGTGCAATGCCTTACCACTAAGCCACCGAGAGCTCTCATTACTTATATGAGAGCCATACCCGTAATCTGCCTAATTTAATGTCAATTCATTCACAAATTTCATTCCATTTGACATCTAAATTCTAGGAGTCAGGACATAGAGGCCTATTGCAGGAATCTTTTTCTCACTAACATAAAAAGTAAAATAAGACCAACAGAGAAATACCTCCAGAAATAGCTGGGCAAACACTGTGCCTCTTTCACGTAGTTCTGTATTACAAAACCAATCCACAGATGTCTCATGAGACTAGGGGAAAGGAGCTATAGTGTTTATCTTTCAATGTAACTTTTCCTAGCCATTGTTTGACTTTACTATGTAGATGGGTGGGAATATGTGAATGGTGCATGTTATCCTATCCCCAAGGGGATTAGCTACCTACCATTCCACAAGGGGATTGACCAGTCTCAACAGTCTATAAGGGGAGTGGCTGGTCTCGCCAGTAAGTTGAGCAGCTCTAACCTCAGAGACAGATCTCCTGGTACCATTGATGAAAAAGCCAGAAAATGTAAGACGTCCTTCTTGCTCCAGCTACATCTATGGCAGCGACACCCATGGCCAAACTACAGACCTGATGTGAGACGGGACCTTGGGGGCAGAGAGCCAATATTGGCAGGACTGAGAATGTTGTCAGACACCTGAAAGTGGGAAGCCAGTATTAGCAGGACTGGAGAACTTTGTTGGACAACTCAAAGTGGGAAGCCAATATTGGCAGAACAGAGAACTTGGAACTTTGGCCTAAAGCCATGAAGGTCCATGACTGAGGTGCCTGCGTGCCCGTTTTGTGAGCCAACCTGGCTATATTCTGCTATTAGCCTGAAATGTAACCTTTTTACTTCCTTAACATGGTTCTATATGGTCTATGAGCTATCATGCTTGAAAGTGAGCCCAGCAAATTAGTAAGACTGGTGTTGAAATGAGTAGAAAGAGGTATGGAAGCATGGGGACGTATCTGACCTCATGAAAAGTGGGTTTTGTTAGGTTAGTGAACTTAAAGAAGAAATTAGAGAGAACGAGAGAAAGCTTAATGCAGCTTTATTCAAGGGGGGAAGGGAGCTCCCAGGTGAGTTCCTCATCCTGGAGAGGCAGAATGGGAAGTCACACTGTGAACTTACTGGGGAGGATTTTTATAAACTGAGTCTTTAGGGAGGGACATTCCATTCTGATTTATGAGCCACCTGCTAGCTCAGTCAGACAAGCAAGACCATTTGCTCTTCTTATCAGCAGCAGGTAAGGCCATCAGCATTTGAGTTCTGAATTCTTCATTCTTCTCTTTGCCCCCCTTCGCTGAGACTTCACAGTTTTGTGTTTTTGATATTGTTGATAGAAACAGTTCTCCTCTGTTGGGGAAGTTGACAAAGGTCAGATATGGCCATCCCCACGTGGTCCTTGCTCTTTGTACAGTAGCACATTGCTCTTCCTTGATATTCCTTCCTCAGCTTCACAGGGCTGCAATGAAAAAGCACCTCAAAGTGAGTGGTTTGTAAGAACAAAAATGTATTGCTTCATATCTCTCGAGGTTAGAAGTAAAAATTTTGGGAATTAACAGAGCCATGTTTTTTCAAAAGCCTTTTGTGAAGGACGCTTTCTAGCCTCTCCCAGTTAGTGGGAGCTCCAGGCATTCCTTGGATTGGAACTGGCACAATTCCATCCTAACATGGTTTCTTTCCCTTTGTCCCTATCTAGGTGTGTCTCATCTCTGTTTTAACTTTACTACCAATACTGGATTAGCCTTCACCCTACCTCAGTATGACTTCATTTTAGCTTGACTGATAACATAATCAAAGATCCTATTTATAGACTTAGCTTTGTTCACAAGTACCAGGAGTTGGGATTTACCACCACCCAATTTGTAAGGGCAGGATACCACCCCAAACACGTTCTTTCCTGAGCATATATGACATATGTTTCATCTCACATTACTTAGGCATGTTGCCAAGGGGAGCTGGTCCTTAGAAAAAAGACATCATGCTGGAAAAGGTCAGCAAAAAATAGAACGAACCTCAATGAGATGAATTAATACAATGGCTTAAAAAATAGGCTGGAGTATGGTGGAGATCGACAGAGGCAGGAGGGCAAGGTATAAGATAGGGGAAGATTTCCATCTGTTGTCCATAGGGTCACTGTGAGTCGTGGTTGACTCAATGGCACCTACTAACAACAACAGATGACATCAGATGCCTACCTTCAGTTCTTTTGATTTTACCTTTTCTCCTTCACAGAGAATTTATTTGGCCCAATTTGAGAGCATTCTGGAGGTTGGGATATTCTGTGTCATCACAGAATTCACAGGAGTCAATTTAGAAAGAGCAGTTGCTATGATTTGCTTATTGTTGGATTCACATCTCCCTCCAGCTAACACTAGACTTTCGCCGATTCTGATTGGACCCTCAGTGGTCACCATCATCCTGGTCCTCCTCATTTGCTTCCTCATTCGTCGCTGCTGTCGTGCAAAAAAGGGTAAGTGTCGGGGAGAAGAAGCCAGTGTCACCTCAGCAGAGTTGACATCTTTGATGGGAGTGCAGAGGTATTGAACCTCTACTTGCAGGCTTCTAGTAAGCTAAACGCAAGAGCCACAGAGATACAACTTTCTAGAGATAACACCAGGGCCTTTGTCCCTTAAAGCTGTCTAATTCTCCACCATATATTTCTTTTTTTTTCCCCACCATATATTTCTTACTTATATCCAATGCTGCCACCAACGTGTAGGAGAACAAGCCACATAAAGAAAAAAGCAGGGAAGGGAATAAAGAGGGTGGAAAGTGAGAGCTTTTAATTGGGTGAACTTTTTTGTTTAGAGAGAGAGAGAGAGAGAGAATCTCTAGTTCTGCCTTTTGGAGCCGAAATGCCGCAGGCACTCACTCATTTTTCTTGACATTATAAATGTAATTATGAAATGAGAGCCCAGAGGTTCGCTCACACTTATTTTGGTGACTTCTGTCCCCTGCAGATGCCACTATGCTCAGCAGAGAGCCTGACGTGGACACCACGGTGAGTGGGAAGGTAGGTCCTCCTCAGTCCCTCCTCTTCAGTGCAGCTAATTCTCTCTCTCTGTCCTTATGTATCTGCACACGTCCTTCTCACTATTGGCCTCTTCCCAGGTACCTGAAGAAGACCCACAGGAGGTGACTTACACAGAGCTGAGACACTGGACTCCCAAGAAGAAAAATATCACTCCCACCCCCCAGAGGTCAGAGGCCCCCTCAACTAATACCCACGTGTACATGCAAGTGGCTGTACGCTAAGTCCAGATCAAGGCGTGATTCCTGAACCCTGCGCACATGTGAAGAGATCTGGAGACTTTCTTCCGTGAGCACCATCCCTCCCCAAGACCTGCCTATCATCTCTGTGATAACAACGCCTGGGGTCTGGGTATCTGCAGGGTCATGTCTGAAATGTCAGAGTCCTTCTAGGACTCTATTTTGTGATTGTCCAGTCGTTCCGGTACTACTAACAAAAGCACTCAAGCATTCTAGAAATTCAGCCATAATTGGCCAACTTTCTCTCATTCTACAGATGTGATTCTAGAAATTACTATGAGCTCAATGAATTATCTTGATTAACACATTTTTGGGGTTTTTCTGTGATCTACTTTTTTTATTAATTTTAATGAAAGTATACAGAGACTTTGGATTTCCATTCATTCATTGTTGCACTTTTCTCCCTGCCCAACCTCTCCCCTAAGTTCGCTATTCTCTTTGAAAAGTAAAAGAAAAATTCTTTCATTGTTTTACAATCCCTCCCCCCAAGTCCGCTCCACTATGAAGCCTTCATTCTGGACTCCTGTCATGACAATAATACCTAACCATAGATCCCTTTTAAACAGTTCTCTCTCTCATCTGTTGCACTGCAGTATATATAATTTATCCCATCTTTCTCAGTATCCCCCTAACCCTGATGTCAGCCCCGTTTTACAACAGTGGCACTATGCAATATTTGTCCTTTTGTGACTGAGATATTTTACTCAGCATAATGTCATCCAGTGTCATCCATTTTGATTAATGTTTCTTGGGTTCATTGTTTTCCAATGCAAGATAGTATTCCATTGTGTGAATATACCACAGCTTCTCTATCTATTCATTTGTTGATGGACACTGGGGTTATTTCCAATTCTTTGCTATTGTGAACAAAGCGGCAATAAACATGGGTGTGCATATATCTGCTTGGGTGGCAGTTATGGTCTCTTTGGGGTATATTCCCAGTAGTGGAATTGCTGGGTCAAATAGTATTTCTATTTGCAACCTTTTGAGAAAGCACCGTATTGCCTTCCTTAATGGTTGCACCATTTTACATTTCCACCAACAGTGAATAAGGGTTCCAGTGTCTCCACAACCTCGCCAGCATCTGTTGTTTGCCATTCTGTTAAAAGTTGCTATTCATACTGGGGTGAGATGATATCTCGTTGTTGTTTTGACAGGAAGACAGTCTAAGGATACTATGACTTGAGTTCTTTTAACACTTAGTAACACTTCCCCCAAATCACACAATTTCCATCAGGATATTGCAAGGAGACGCTACTTGCCCAAGACCTCAGAGTCTTTTTTTTCTTCCCCCTTTGTTGGACTAAGAAATGTCAACACAGATGGAAAGATCTCCATGAGTACAAAATGACGTGAAAGTCACTCTGGTTGGTCCTGGAAGATGCGAATGGTTAGGGGAATCAAAAGTCTGGTCCTTCAGATGTCCTCAGTGAGATCCCAGAAGAAGGCCTGGAGAGTTTCTTCCCAGGGAACATTTTCACTGAAAACTCTGTCAGTCACAGCTCCTCTCTGACACACACGGGGTCCACACAAGTCGGGGTCAGCTCCACAGTTAGTAATGTTTTGTTTGAAATAAGCCCACATGACTGCCTATTAATAAGCTTGTAACTATGTTTTCCCATTACTGCATCCCCATCCAATGCACTAATTCAAATGTTGTTTGTTGTTGTTGTTGTTGTGATGTGCCGTCGAGCCACCGTGACTCCTAGCGACCCTATATACAACAGTCCTAAACCCTGCTCTATCCTTGTGCCAATCTTATGGTCTCCAACACATCCACCACCATTACTCCAGTCACTGAATCAATCCATCTCATCAAGGGTCTTCCTCTCCTGTGCTGTCCCTCCACCCTCTCAAGCATGACGTCACTTTCCAAGGACTGGTCCCTCCTTACAACATGTCCAAAGTATGTCAAATGAAGCTTCAGAATCCTTGCCTCCAAGGAGCAGCCTGGTTTAACCCACTCAATAACAAACCTGTTTGTTCTCCTAGCGGTCCATAGTATATTCAGCACTCTTCTCCAGCACCACAGCTCAAAGGCATCAGTCCTCCTCCTGTCATCCCTAGTCATTGTCCAGCTTTCAGATGCATAGCAAGTAATTGCAAAGACTAGGGCCTGCATCGGGCGCACCTTAATCTCCAGACTGACAGCGTGGCTCTTCAGTACCTTGGAAAGGTCTCTGACAGCAGACTTGCCCAATGCAATTTGTCTTTTGATTTCCTGGCTGCTGGTACCAAGAGTGTTGATTGTGGAGCCAAGTAAACTGAAGCTGCTAACCATCTCAGTCTCTTCACCATCTATCATGATGCTGCCAGTTGGCCCAGTACAGGGGGAAAAGAATCAAAGAATCAAAGAACCACTTTGTCATATAAATAATAACAAGCAATGAAGCATATCTAGACAAGCCTCTAGGGGATAGGATCGGTGACCTCCTGCCTCCAGAGCTGTCTCTCTACAAAGGCTGTGGGGCAAATTCCCTTCTCGTCTCGCTCAATTTCGAGGGGCGCCCAAAGAAGCTGCAATGTCACCTAAGCTTTGCCTCAGCCTTCACTTGGTCTCTTTGTGTCTTTGTGTCTCTTCTCTTTTAAAAGGACTTCCCTTCTACCGGATCAGGGCCCGCAGCACTCCAGTACGGATCCGTGCTAACGGACACACCTTCCAAGAGCTTATTTCCAAAAAGTCACATTCATAGGAATCAGGAGTGAAAACTTTAACTCACTTCAACTTTGGGAATGGTGTCCCGTCCATCCGCCGTCCAACCTCCATTCACTTGAGGGCAAAGGCAAAATACATAACATATAAACCATGTTTTAAAAGGAAATGTAAATGTGGTCAGTGTTATGCATTCTGCATGTCTGAGTTCCCAGATGAATGAAGTAAATAATGAAAATTGAAGAAATCTGTGAAAAGAGATGAAGACACCACCCTGCTGGAGAGTCAGAACTAACTCCTTACTGACACTCCAAGGGGCATTCCGAGGCTGTAAATCAGACCTGGTGCCTTTGGCTTCGCAGTGCAACTCCTTACCCTCTAGACCGTGTAACCCAAATGTGTACAAGATGTGGGAGTTGAGTTACCTTCCTAAAGGGAAGACAGGTTATAGCACTGAAAATACAGTGTTGTAAGTTGTTGTTGTTGTTGATGATTGCCATCGAGTTGAGCATGACTCACAGCGACTCTGTGAACAAACGTCCTGAAGCCTTTCTATAACTATGGTCATTTATCAAAGTTCGTAGAGTTTCTAGAGGCATGTGCTTTACTAGAAGTGGTGTATCCCAGTGGACATGGGGTAGTGATTAGAAAGCATGTTCTGAAGTATCCGGGTTTCCCACTGAATTTGACTGGTAGCCTTGACTCCACCACCAAATAAAACACTGGAAGCTTTTTCTTTGGAGATACTAAATAGCTCCTGAGAAAATCCTTCTACGTTCTGGCATTGTGGAAGTTGTTGCTGTTATTGTTGTTGTTATGTGCCATCAAGTCACTTGCAACTCACAACGACCCGATGTACAAGAGCCCTAAACCCTGCTCTGTCCTGTTGCCAACCTCACTGTCTCCGACATACTTACTCCCACCACCGCAATCACTGAATCGATCCATCTCACCGAGGGTCTTCCTCTCCCAAACATGATGTCCCTCTCCAGGGACTGGTCCTTGTTGCAACATGCCCAAAGTGTGTCAGATGAAGCTTCAAAATCCTTGACTCCAAGGAGCAGCCTGGCTTCACCCTCTCCAGGACAAATCTGTTTTGCTCTCCTAGCAGTCCATGGTATATTCAACACTCTTCTCCAGCACCACAGCTCATAGGCATCAATTCTCTTTCTATTATCCCTAGTCACTGTCCAACTCTCTGATGCATAGCACGTAATTGCAAAGACTATTACCCGGATCAGGCGCACCTTAAGTCTCCAGCCTGACGTCGTTGCACTTCAGTACTCATGAGAAGTCCCTCACAGCTGACTTTCCGCAGGCAATTCATCTCTTGATCTCCTGGCTGCTGGTACCAAGACTGTTGACTGTGGAGCCAAGCAAACTAAAACTGTTAACTATCTCAATCTCTTCACCATCCATACTAATGCTGCCAAGTGGCCCAGTGGTGAGAATCTTTGTTTTCTTGATGTTGAGCCTCAATCCATATTGAAGGCTGCAGTCCTTGACCTTCTGCAACAAGAGCTTCAGGTCCCATATAATAAAAGCACTCACCTGCTTGATCAATGTGAACCAGGTGAATATAATTACTCAAAATTAACTATTAATCGAAATGGGCCCCTGGCGTTGAGAAGAGGCAAGGACCCATGGCTTTTGACTCATGAT